CAGTTTCGAGACAAGGATGTCAAGCTTTTTGGTGGTACTTACAGGAGAAAGGGGAAAAGCCTGACCTTGCTGCTGAGGAAGGGAGGGAGGGAGTGAGGAAGGGAGAGAGAGAGGACGCATGATGTGAAGAACAAAGAGTGGAGATGGAAGTAGGTTTAAGCAAAAGGATTACAAGCATGTTAATTGAATAGAGCAAACTTGTCTTGGGAAACAAAATTAAAAGCCGGACTCCTTCGTCTCAGCATTTCTGTGCTCTTAGCAAATGAAAAATCCACTGGCAATGCGCAGACATTAGTGTGCAGACTGTATGAAGATGTTACTCTCAGTTACTGATTTTGATAGAAGTTTTCATTTTGATATGGAAGATTATGATGATTCCATGTAGTTGAATCAGCCTTGGTTTCGCTTGTCCAGATATTTTTCCTTTTTTAAACTTTGTTTTTATATAAGGTACATGCATTTTTACAGTCGTCATTGTATGCCTGTCTCTGAGTGTTCTGTACAATGTGGGTTTTATACTCCTACCATGGCTGTTTATGAACCATAGTTTTTCTTGTATTCTGATATCCATGGTTTCATTTGAGTCTGATTCTGAAGGGTTTCCGATCCCAAACCAGGCTATGGTAGTAGGAATACTGTTCATTAGGGCAGCTTGGTCTAGTAGGTATTCATACTGTCTTGCTACAGGTTTCTAGAAGAGGTCTACCTGTAGTTAGTGGATAAAGGGGTTTGCTTGTCTTTGAGTTAGCTACTATTAACTGCTACTTCGAGGCAATTTAAGTTTTATGTGAGAGATTTCAGTTACTCAGAGTTTTTTGGATGGAGACTATGCACTTTCTTCTCTGCAGTGTTTTTTGTCATATTTATTACTTTTGTGTACATACTTACAAAGACTTAAAATCTGCAGTTAATGAGGAATAGCTATAGGCGAACTTTGACTTTTGTTATAATTTGCTTTGAATTCCCTCAATGCTTTTTAGGAAGGGGTAGTTTTTAAAAATGAAGAATATTAAATCTAATAGGATTGGCTTGGTTTATTTAGCAATATCAGCTGAGTTTTCACCTGGAACCTTGACAAGAAAACATTCCATGTTCCCATGTTTTTTCTTAGCATGCATGGTAGCTTGGATCTCATCGCTTCCATCAGTTCTGCAGTTGTTAGAGAATATACTGAAAAGTTATATACTGCTTGTTAAAGCATGATTAGACAAGGGAAATAGATATGACTTAATTATATTAATTCTCAGAAATCTGTTGTGTGAAGCAGTCTGGTTTATGAAGATTTAAAATCTCTTTCTAGGGCATTGGCCCTTAACTGTGATGCCCCTCTGGATGACAAAAATGGAGCAGAGTCTAAGAATTGGAGAGCTGGTAAGCCAGTTAGAGTAGTGCGCAGTTCAAAAGGACGGCGAATCAGCAAATACGCCCCAGAGGAAGGCAACAGATATGATGGCATTTACAAGGTATTCTGACTTTTACTGAGTGCAACATAGCATTTTTCTTCAGCTGTGTTAAAAAGTCTTATATGTATTTCATCGCAAATTCTTCATTATTACTTAAAAGAAGTAATTCTTTTTTTCTCTATGGTAGTTGTTTTAGCCTTAGCTCATTTTGCAAAGAACTGAAATGAAATTATTCAGAGCAGTGATAGCAGAATATAATCCATAATATGATATCTGGAGTTGAGTATGTAAGCTACTTTCGATGTGCTGAGTCATATTCATCCCTAGAAATGAAATTATTTCCTCACTCCTTCCAACTATATCCTATCTCTTTTGCATTTAATGACTTCTCAGCATCTGAAATAAACATGTGTGTCTTTTAAGAGCACTGTTTTTTTAAAAAAAAAACCAAAAAAACCCAAAAAAACCCAAAAAAATTCTGCACCGATGGGAAGAGCTAATAGTAATGTGTAACTTAGTCTTCTCGTTTCTTCTTGAACAATTGAAGTATGACTATATGCATGTGTTTAGCTGTGATAAAATAGTGGCTGTAATTTTATGTTGTTCTTTAGGTGGTGAAGTACTGGCCAGAAATTGGAAAATGTGGATTTCTAGTTTGGCGCTATCTTCTGAGGAGAGATGATGTTGAGCCTGCGCCTTGGACCTCAGAAGGAATGGAGCGGTCAAAGAAACTTGGTCTGAGCGTACAGGTTCGCATCAGGACTCACAGAGTTGTTTTAGTCCTCACTTCCAGAAAAAGATGCCAGAAATAGAAATTGGTTAAATTAAAGCCCCCTTTTTTTCCCCTTGTACTTCACTGTGGCAGGATGTAATGCCAAAAATCATCACACATTATCTGCGGACTGAGAGTCCTGTAATAGTGGCACACCAGAAGGAACAGCGGATGAAGCTCACTGCTTTAGCAGTGAATTGCTTTGCATATATGGATTGGAAAATTAAGAGTTTGAATCCAGTTTTGTGATCCCTAAGCCGGAAAGAACTTTTACAATCTACTGTTGTTATAGCTGAATTTGTCTGAGAAACCAAAAAACCTGTGCATTTTTATGTATTTTTCTCTCCATGTGACTGAGGAGTTTGTATAGATCGTGTATTTCAGTCACAGAAATAAATTGACCCATGAGGACTTAGGCACTGCAGAATCCCTGACAGATGGAAAGAATTAACATTCTGTTTCTTTTCTTAGCAAGGCAATGGTATATCTTACAGCATACCATCGTCTTCAGCTTTGCCTTACTGGTGTGTACATTTGTAAGAGCATAGATGTGGATATCCAGTTCCTTTCAATATAGTCCAGTCTGGAGTAGATTCTTTGACTTGGCTACGCTTTCTTAATAGTAGATACTAATTTAAGTGTTTTCACCATCATGCAGGGTTTTAAAAATTAATTTGTAATTATTTCAATATGTAGTCACAGGGTTTTAAAGTCTGTTTGAAATCAGACTTGCTGCTGTTTCAGAATCCTTGGATGCCAGTGGGTTTTGGTTTAAATCTATGCTTTTTTTATTTTAGTATCCAGAAGGTTATTTGGAAGCCATGGCTAGTAAGGAGAAGAAAGATAAAGTTAAAAAGCAAACTGTGAAACAGGAGCCAACCAGCCAGAGTAATGGAAACCAGAAAAGGACAATTGATGATGGTATTTCTTTTAACTTTTTTAGCATTCATCACTGAAGTCTGTCATGTTACATTTATTAAGCCAGTAGCATGAAAGACGTTGTGTGAAGTTATTTGGAGTACTAATGTAAATTGATCAGCACATGCTCTGTAATTAAGTAGTAGTGTAGTGCTCATATCCTATTTACTACTCTTACAGGGTTTTTTTCTCCTAAGCTCTGTAGAAAAACGAGCAGTCTTCTGTGCAACTGTGTGCTGCAGCCCAGAACAATGCTGGAGAGTATGTGTTGGATTCATGAGTGTGATCCATGTTTTAGCCTTCTGGAAACAGTTTTGTATTCCTCTTTTATTAGTTCAGACTTACGCTCTGTTGTTACTGTGTCTGATGGTCACAATCTTAAGCAGGTGTAGAGGAATCTACGAATACACCCAAAGCCATGAGGATGGGAGATGGAGGGAAAGGAGAGGCTTTCCAGCTGACCCAAGAGCAGCAATGGCTGATTAGAGAAGATACTATGAACCAGAAACTGTGGGATGAAGTACTAGCCTCTCTTAAGGAAGGACCAGTATGTTTGCTGCATGCATAATTTTTCTTTACCATTTCTTTAGACTGTTAGGGGAAATCTTGAGTCTCTCTTAAAACCTAATTTGCTTGTTGAACTTTTGCTAAATACAGATGGGGTATAGCGTTATTTTTACTTGCAAGACTTTGGTTTCAAGAAAATAATCCTCACTTGTACAATTTGCTATTGATGGATCACTTTACACCTGCATAATAGAGACCTTTTTTTTGCTCAGATAACATTTTGAAGTTAAAAGTGGCATGTTTTTTCATTTTTGAAAGGAGCGTGTGGTTTCTCTGAAATTATAAATGTACTTTTGTGCTGTACTGATGTGAGAAATCAGACATCAAGAAAGATGGTTCTAGCCACTACTTTTTGTTTAGATAGAAAATAATTTTATGACAGAAAATACAGCTTTCTTGTTTGTTTAAGAAGATAGAAGCACTGTCATCTTCAAATATAGATATGAAATGAAAATATTTTCATCCAAATCTAGATTATCCCACTCTGTAGAGAGGGAACCTTAAGTTATAGAGAAAATACTTTTCTCTCCCTAAACGTCAAGAAAATAACAAGAATAGCTCAAGATTGAAGAGGCTATAGGCACTAGTATTAAAAAAGTCCACAAAAGGAATATATCCTGAAATACTATGTGTTTCAGTGATAGTCTTGACAATGTCAAATTTGTAGTTAATTTTAGCTGTTTTGCAGAAGAAATCAAGGCACTAATAAAATTATTTTAACTTCTAAAACTCAGCTTAGTGGAAGACAGACCATTGGTTGGAAAATGGATATCTGAAATGGACGTACACAGTTTATTTGAGAATTACCAGTGGTTACTTATTACTGAATTTTCTGACCTATGCTAAGAATCAGGCATGAGGAGCCCTCCGGTCTGTTTAATTTTGTTTATAACAAGCACAAACAAACAAGAAAATAAACTTTAAAACATTAATTCTCTAACTTGTGGAAGAGCAGGGAAATTAAGCAGTTACAGACCTGTTTCCTGATTACTTTTAGAAAGCTGCATTCATGGATATGGGGAACTTTAGAACTTTTGGAAATTTATCATCTTTTTTTAATATGTGGCATTTACAAGAACTGTAATAGCGTTTGTCTTTTATTCCTTTGCCCTACACTAGAATTTTCTGAAGAAACTGGAACAATCCTTTATGTGTGTCTGCTGCCAGGAACTGGTTTACCAGCCAGTGACAACAGAGTGCCTCCACAACGTCTGTAAAGTAAGAATGAACTCGGTCTTGCTCTGGGCTGTTTTCTTGGCTCTGAGATACCAGTCACCAAAGCCATATGCATTTTAGAAAGGCAATAATTACTGCCTCATATTCTGAGAAAAAACGTGCAACGCGTTTGCATTCAGGGATTGCTGTGTAACCTTAATTTTATGTAATAAAGAGTGTAAGTACGACTGCCGTCATTCCTTCATGATCAGTGGAGTTACACTGGGAGTTGGTTTGTCAGGAGCTAGATGTTGGTACAGTAACAATAATTTAATTTCACCTAGCTAAGGGATAAAACCAGATTTCATAATTGTGTAACACTCTTACTAACAGTTGTTGAAATGAAAACAACTTAAAAACATACAACATAAAAATTCGATATAAAAAGTATTATGAAGGGGTTTATATTTACAGTTACGTAAACTGGAAAACCATGGAGAAGAGAAAGCTAAATGGCAACAAGCTCAGAAAGCACAGAATTTTAAGACCTCAGTCAGGATTTGCGGATACAAAATAACACCCTGTTAAAGTTGTAAGGGATAGTTGGATAGTAAGCTGCTGTCGCTGTTGGGGCATAGATCTGCCCTGACAGATTTCTGATATTCGGCTCACATGCTTGGGCTGTCTGCAGCCAGTGGTAACATAAGGAGGGCAGCACGGATGCCAGTGTGTTAGAAATTGTGTTGTTCTATGTACGTCTTTAAGACTTGGCTGAATCTCATCTGATGAAGTAGACAGAGATTGTTGCATAAACAATTTAGGTGGTATTGTCACCTTCCTATTGCAGTGAAGGCCTGGAAAACTGTAGCAATCTAACCAGGAAGCAAGCTGCAGACGTGGCTGTGATTCATGGGAGGGCATTAGTGAAAATGAAGGGGAAATCTCAGTGGTGATTTATTTCCTCCCAACCTCAATGTTTCACATCCCAGACCAGAGCAGAGTTCCTGTTTTAGGACATTGTAGTCATACAGGCAGAGGAAGGTGCCCGGGGGCTTGTTAATGACTTCCTTTTTTCTGGTGGTATGGCAGGCAGATGGCATCTTTGGTTTACAGTGATTCCTTAGGTTTTGCTGGTTGAGCTGTCAGTCTGAAACGAAGTTCTCACCATTTACTTCTCTGTCTTTGTGCATCCTAGAGTTGTTTACAGCGCTCCTTCAGAGCTGAAGTCTTCACCTGCCCTGCCTGCCGCTACGACCTTGGAAAGGGCTACACCATGGTTCCCAACAAGATACTGCAGACGCTGCTGGACCAGTTCTTCCCTGGTTACAGTAAAGGACGATGATGTGCTCAGATCCTTCCGTACTTCTCCAAGTGACTTTATGGACAGTAAAGGAGAATAACATGGGAATTTCAACATTGGACCAGCCAGCTTGATGGGACTCAATATATTGTCACATTTTGAAGCAGCTAACCCTCTTCCCCTCATAGCCATCTTTTTGGTGTAGTGAGAACTTTACTTCTCAGCTGTCTTTTAACATCAAGGGTAGTTTTGGCCAGCTAACAAATAGTTTTTAAAGAAAAATAAAAAAGGAAAAAAAAAAGAAGAAGAAGAAGAAAAGCCTCAGCTCTTACTGGCCTAGCTGATGCTTAATTTATGATTATTTTTTTTGTAACTACCTCAGGACAGAGGAAAACAAATTGTGGGGATGACAAAAAAGTTAGTGAAGTTTTAGCTACACACTGCCTCCTGAATATTAGTTGTGCCTGGTCCATGTGGTTTGATTTACAAAAAAAAAAAAAAAAAACCCAAAAAAACCCCAACACCAAACCAAAACAAAAATCCACAAAAAACAGCAAGAAAGAGAAAAAGCACTTAATCCATGTGGATTAAAGAACAGCAAATTCTGTGGTGTGCATAATCCTTTTTTGTCTTTTTCTTCCATTATGCTGTATTTTTTTGCAAGAACAGGCTGATTTCTAGTCTATTTTTGTGAGCTTCATTGTGCTTCTCTTGTATCTTATGCAAGTTGACTACTAATGACTAATGAGAACAATATGAGTGCATTGTTGCTGCATTAGTGTAAAGTGATCTGTGTTTTTTGCACTTAAAAGAGGGTATTCAAGACACTCTAGTTGTGTAAAAAATATTTCATATAAAAAAGCCACTTCTGTATTAGTTAAACTGTATGCTTTTAGTAGGTCTTGTATCAGTGGCAATACATCTACATGGCATTGAAGGCAGTGCTAGCTTGGAGAGGGTTCAAATCGCTTCATATTGTGATCTGAAGTTTTATATACGATATATCCCCCCCAAAAAAATATACCTTATTAAATATTTTATGATTCAGAAAAGTTGCTAATTTTGTTTTTATGCTTATTCACTTATTTAAATCATAATATTTTTATGGATTTTTTTTCCAGATAATTAAATGCTTTCTTTAGGTGGTCTTCATGTTTTTCAGACATGAAGCTTTAGATTCCTTAACTCATTTCTCAGTGAAAAGAAGTTGTTAAGATCTAAAAAGCCACCTGACATCGGTATCCATGGGCTCACACATACTCTGTGGCAGTGGCTGTCATGCAGCTCCTCTGCTCTCTACCGAGCATGTAAAGGAAGATTGTTAGTGCTCCATCCATGTTCCGGAGTCGGAGGGAGCCCTGCCAGCCCCACTGGCATTGGCGGTGCTGGCTGCCACAGCGGGGAGCTGGGGGTGCTGTGCACAGCCATCAGAGCCACCCGTCAGGGACTCCTGCTGCAGGCACAGGGCCGCACCGACAGCCTGTCGCCTGCACAGTGGGCACATCAGACGTACATACGTAAGAGTATGTGTCAGCAACTCAGGTTCTTGCCACTACCCTGGTGTGGTAGCGAAGCAGTCATTGAGAGGCACAGGGCGGTGCTTCTTCTGTGGCTGAAAGTCGGCCTAGTGGCTAATTCACTTCATCTGAAATAAGTAACTTCTCTTTCTCCCTCCCATTCTACTTAGGATTTCAGTTGCATCCAAAAATGCATAATGCCGGTGCCCTCTCTAGTCATATATCGGATAAGGCAGGCATCGCTGAATGGTTTTGAAAGATTTAACTCCTCACACTTTTCTATGCGTACTAGAATGAGGGTTCAGCCTTTTTTCAGTAGGTGAATTGGGATTAGTGTTAAGTGTACGGTTTAAAAGAGCTGTAGACGGATTCTTATATCCTGCTGACCTTAGTTTTGTGTTACAACACCAACTTTTGTGTTTTACACTGGTAGCTCAGTATTTTATGGGGGAAACGTAATTTTGCCTTTCTAAACAATCATTACATCTGGGCAGTAAGCACTTCAGGTTTGTCCCTTTTGACTTGATAGTTGAATGCAGGGAAGTATTTTATACCTTTTAATGCTTTTTCCCATTTGATAGCTTTTACCAATTAACTGATAAGATTGATTTGTCATTTTGAGGTCAGCAATGGGAAGTTCTCTGCTTAATACAAAAATATGTAAAACAATCTTTTAATATATTTTTTCACTGGCAGACACAATCAAGCAACATGAAACTGCCTTTAACAAACATTTAAGTAGCTTGACAAGGGTTTGTGGAGTTCAGATTGCCACGCAGAAAGACCGTTCTTTTCTTGCATTACAAGTTGGCTGTGTGTTTTCACAGTTTTTTACACCCATAGTCCTATCTAAGTGCTTAAAGGCACCTTTTTCAAAGTAAATTCTAGAGTATAGAATTGTTTTATGCTCTATATTCTTTTATACATAGTGAAGAAAATACATTAGATGTTTTATGACCTAGGTGCAGTTTTTCCCATCAAAACTGATACCTGGCCTAGCCTTCCTTCAGTGGAATCCATTCCTGTCTCCTCTCCTCTGTGTAATGAAAGCCCCCCTTGGAGTCTGAAGGTAGGCAGTGAAAAAGTTGCGGTGCCGAAACTCTCACTGTAGAGGACACAGCCGTACAGTGCTGGGAGCACTAGCCTCACTTGTATCACTTTAGGGAAAGCTCCCAGGCACGAGTGTGGATGTAGAGCTTCGGGAAGAGGTCGAGTAGATGCTGGTTGCGAGGTGCAGAACTGTGGCCCCTTCCCCAGTCTGCATGCTGCCACAGTACCTGCTTCCTCATTCACAAAATCCTGTTTCGTGTGTCTCTGCAGAGGCGCTCTCTTGCATCAAACGATCTGCATGGACTCGCTCTCGGGTTCCTTGCACGTGCGCTTGTAATGCCTATGGTCTGTCTGTGTAACGGCTGAGAGGATCGGTTTTACAGAAATTGGACTGGGAGCAGCTTAGAAGAGGCTCCCGCTTAGGGGTCGGCCTTCTGGCTGCCGCGTCACTGGACGTGGCAGCACGGGTAGCAGTAGGGCTGTGCTCTCAGGTGGCGGTGGAGCGCCAGCGCTGAAGCTGTGAATCGGTTTTTACACAAGCTGTAGGCTGACATGATAAAGGAAGGCAAGCTGCTGCATAAGCTAAAGCCAGTATCCAAACAAAGAGATCTGAGAAACTGTGAAAGAAGAACTACTTTGTTAGAAAAAACAAAGTTACTATGTTATTAACTCATAATAAGCTGTGCTTAGTCTGTTAGAAAAGGTGTGTCGTGACTTCTCTGGAATGAGAGGATTAGATGGAGCTATAAGGAATAATTGATGTGATATAGAAAAATGTTTGTTACTGCTCAGCAAAACTGGTCATTCTGGCTCATTAAAAAATCCAGAGGCTTACTTCAGTATTAATCTCTGCCAGTACTGTGCTCTGTGTAGAAGCTGCTACTGCTGTGGCAGTTCTGACAAATCAGAACTTAAACTTTGTAATTTCACACTGCTCTGTTGGATAAATCCAGCTAAAAGTTAAAATCTTTAACATGACAACGCTTTTAATATCCTGACCCATTTTATTAGAGTACTAACATTGGTAGGTAAAAAAAAAACAGTATGAAATATTAGCACTAGTGATGCTAGTGGTAATATGTGAAGTAAATTAAACAATCTACTTCATCTTTTTTACAAAATATAAACAATTACTCCTGCAGTTAATATTCATTATTATTGCCTGAAGCATCTGCATCTTTTCTACTTCTTTTTAACCATACCTTCCATGCCACTTTGCAAACTGGGTGTTAATTGTTAAAACTTTAGCACGAAACAGACAAAATGCTGAATCAAGGCAACTTCAACATCAACTGCTGTGGAAAAATCACCTTTTGTTTGCACCTAACGTATTGATTGTATTTACATTTTAACTGAGCAGCGATTCAATTAACAAACGTGGTGATTATCCAAAATATACACAGTATATAAATCCCCTATAGAAAAGGCCATCCTGATGGACTCGGAAATCCAGGCAGCTGGAAGCAGTCCTACGAAGACGCTCTCTTCTGTTCAGAAAAGGGAGATTCGTAGGCTTCCATTGGTGGGCAGGTACAAACGAGGTGTTGGTCTCCATATATGTCATCAATGCGAGCAATAGTGGGCCAAAACTTGCTTTCAGGCTTCACAAATGGCTAAGTGCAAAAGAAAAAACAAGTATTTTAATTTTACTACCAAGTGAATCTACATGATTTTAATTGACATGGGAAGTTTTACGAATGACAAATGCTGGAAAAGTGGATTTTTTTAAGTGGAGTCATATATGAAATCTATTTGCAGTCCCTGGAAGTCAACAAGCATGTATAATAGACTTGGCAGTCAAGAGAATATTCAGATTTCCAAAAAGGTATAACCATGTCCTCCAGCACATACTTGCAGAGAGGCGGTTGTCATGGGATAAAAGAAAACTACGGCTGTCTGAGTAACTGGCTGACAGATAGGAACCAAGGAAAAGTGGAGGGGACTGCCACCACCTGTGCTGTGCAGTATAGTTACAGTATATAAAACAAGGTGGCAAACTTCACAGGAACAGTTAAATTCTTCCTCTTTGAAACAGCACATAGCAGTAAAATACATGCAGTTCAGTTTTAGGTGAGAAAAGTGAAGTTACAGATGTGTTTTGCTGTTAAGATTGCAGAAGCAATTTTGTGTTGTGATCTGAAGAAGCCTGATGTATCCAGCTCCAGTCTGACTTGTCATTCTCGCAGGCTCACATTAGCTGTGGCCTGCCCCATGCTGGCCATGCATCCTGTCCAACCCTCGTCCAAGTGCTTCGGAGCAGAGCTTTGAGCATCAGGATGTGAGACTCTGTTTTGGGAGCCCCTGGCGCAGTGTGTCTGAACTGAACGGCCCGTGTCCAGTATGGAAGTACTGAGATTTAGAAACCCCAAGTTTGCACTTCATGTGTAGAGACCTTTTTAAGACCCTTTTTCCTTGTCTTGCAAAACGAAACTAATAGAGCTACTGCAGAGTTCACACACGTGAAAACTGAGCAACAGCAAACATGGCTTATCCTTAGCAGGCAACGGACCAGAAAATCAGGAGCAGAAAGCACACTTACATATTACCACAACACTAGGATCCCGTTACTCACTCACCAGTGGGAATGCTGCCACCTCTCTGGAGTAAGGACGATCCCACTTGGAAGAAGTGACACAGTTCAGAGTGTGTGGTGACATCTGCAAGGAAAAAGACATGCTTAGGACATGAAAGTACTGAATTCAGTTGAACGTATCAGTGTGAACCCCCCTTCAAG